TCAGCTTTCTTACGTGAAACCTGCTCTTGGGCCTGGCTGATGAACCAGAGAGGAGTGGAGGGCAGTTTATGCGCCTCAGAGGCAAACCCAGCAGATGGTTGCCTGGATGGGTTGCCCAGTGCTCGGCCCCCAGCCCAGGCAGGACCCACTGGCTGGTGGCTGCTTGCAGGTGCTCTGGCAGCAAAGCAGAAGCACCCACAGGTTCCCATGGCCGGGGGCTCCTGGTGTCTCCGTCAGGTCTTCTGTAGGAAATGTAGACCCTAGAAACACCAAGTCCCTGACGCAGTATGCTAGGAATCCAGGCAGGGCTTTTCTGGAAAAGCTGTAGGAGTTGGGATGTTTTCCAATTGAGCACATGAGGCTCAACAAAGGAGTGTTTTTCCCTTTCTGCTCAGTGATGCAGATGCCACAGCATGCAGGACTTCTGCGGGAACTGCAGACAGGGTCAAAAGCAATGTGCCATAGAAGAGCAAGCTCCTTGTCACAGGCTGGGCTTCTAGAAGGAGGGAAATGGCAACCAGGTAAATTAAGGAGCCAGTGGGACCGGAGGAATGAAGAATCTAATAAATAGGGATAATGAGGAAATCCTTGCAATGCTGTTTGTGTTGCAATCAAAGGGGCAGTTTGGAAAGTCCAGGTCAGTTGCCCAGTTGGATGCAAAGCCTCAGCTGAAACATGTGGTTGTTGTGAGGCTGTGGTTGGTGGGGTAAACTGCGGCACTCTCTGAAAAATGAGTGCACCTGGACCAGGTCTGTGATGAGCAATCCCATCGCTGCTCTGTGACACCAGCCGTCTCCTCTGAGAGTTGCTGGGTGCTAAGGTGGTGGGCAAACGACATCGTGGGGGAGAAATCCTGATGGCATACACAGGTACATGGGTGCCGCTGGCTGGCAGGACTGTTTGGCCACCTGAGAGGTCTTACATTACAAGATTTGACTGCAGCCCTGCCACAGCCCAAAGAGCTGACTCTGCGGGATGCCTCTTCAGGTAGACACAGTATAAGACCCTGGAAGAAGAGCCTGCTACTGTCGGCATCTTTTACATGTCCTTTGTGAAAATACCGAGACAATCTTACATCACTGTCAGCTTACTGGCTGCCCTGGAGTTATTCCGTATGTCTCCATGCTCAGGACAAAGGTTCAAGCTCTTTAGGTCTGATTACTCATCTAGATTTGTAAATCTGCTACATTTGAGCATCTTCAGGAAGCTAGTGGGATTTCCGGGGGTTGCTTTTAAGCAGAAGTGCTGCTTTAACTTCTTTCTTTCAGTGATGCCATTATTTCTGGTTCTGCCTTATATTAAAAAGATTCTGAGCTTGTATGAATATTTCACAAACATTTCTTATCACCAGCTGTCACTAGCTCTATTGGTTATTCCTGGGATCTCCATTGTCAGGGAGTTCTCAGTGCTTTAATACACTATATATATGTGCTCAGAGCAGTACAGAAAACAAAGGCACATTTATTACAAGAAGCTCATGTGTAAATCAGAAGCTGAATCTGATAAAGGCATTAGCACGGACAGTTTTCTTAAAATTATTGAGTTGGAGAAGCCAAGAAATCCAACAGGCTGATGCTATTCCAAAAACATCTTGAGCTCTCTTACTTCTTTGAAATAGCTAAGCAATATAAACGAGCATGTAATTCCCACTGACAGCTAAGTTCCCTGCATAGTATACACAGCTCTGGCACCATGTGAATAATAAATATGGTGTGGAAGAAGATGCCAAGAAGCAGTCAAAGTTCCCATTGTCTGTACAGACAAATGCCATCATTTCATTGCAAGATGGCTTTAGCAGCAGCAGAGTCAATCAGATGCAAAGATCAAAATCCAACGGGAAACTCTCCCCCAACTTTCAACCTGTTACTCCTTTTCTATGAAACCTACAGCTGAGATGGCCAAAGGGTTGTAGAAAACACAGCCAAGAGGAATTGGATGATTGTGCATGAAAGGCAGGAGAAAAGGGTTGGAAAGCTCGGTCCCAAGCAGGGTGAAAGAAGAGAGTTGTCCTAACTGGGCCAGGCTCATCTCTTGAGACGTCAGCCCTCCAAGTTTCTGTCCCCATCCCTGGATAGTAAGAGAGGAGCTGCTGCCCCTTGTCACCCCTGCCTGGACTGGAGATAGGATCGTAAACCGTATGAGATTATATTTACCCCCAAACTTCACCCTTGACTTTCCAGCCAGCCTGCTGGCAACCCACAAGCCCTATCCAAATGAAAGTTGGGCTGTGAATTTTGTCAAATTAAAAATCTAGGAAACAAACAAGCTAGCCTCTGGCCATCTCCTCTGTGACAGTCTCACACACAAATCTCTGTCTCCCATAGTGGCTTATTTTTGCCAGCAGCTGAGAAGTCCTACTGGCCATTTTATAGGTGGGATTGCTTTCCTTCCCTGTTCTTCTACCCAGGACCTTACTTCTGCCCAGGAAACTTCAGAGTAGAACTTGAAAAAGTCCTTGGACAGGGAGTGAGTGTGAAAACATGGGAAAAAATTAATCTCAATGGAAATCCTTGACTAATTGACAGGTTGGAATAAGAATGACCATAGACCCCAAACTATGCCAAGCAACCAGTCTGCTCCAGGCACTGCAAGCTCACTCAGCCAGCCACATGCCTGGCTGTTTTGCTCTGCCAGCTTTACAAGGCCTAATTAGCTCTATTCATTTTGTTTGTAATTACAAAAGCAAACAGCCCTTGGAAAGAGAGGGAATAGAGGAGGCAGCTCCTTGACTAAGCTTAAGAAAATGTTTTAAATAAAGTTTGCCTCTCATCAGGTGTACTTGAGAATATGAAAGGGATGAACACAAGAGCTCTAGTGAATGGAAAAAGGTTTCCAGGCCAGGCAGAAGCAAGGGGGATGAAGCCTTGATACCCTTGGGAGGCACCAGTGTGGGTTAGAAGAGGCCATCCCTAGCTGGAACCATTCTCTACTTGGCCCGCAAAAATGCACACTTGACTGGTTGTGGTGGGAGAAGTGCAGTACCTTCCCAAAGAGGCTTTAGAGTGACATGGATCCTCCCAAGGCCCATCTCTTCATGATCCTGTTAACCAAGAAATCGCACATAAGAGTTTGAGACACATATAGATCAGCCAATCTCTTCCTACTCTGGAGATGGAAGATCTCATGCAGATAGCCCCAACCCGCACATACCCTACCCCAGCTAAGGCTATGGAGAGCAAAGCAGCTGAAACACAGAGCATCTCTCCTGGGAGCGCCTCAGCTCCACACCCCATCCCTTCCCCATTCCTGCAGCTCCCACTCCCCTGCGAGGGAGCCGTCTGCCTTCCCCCTGTCCCTTCCTGCTCCACCCAGGGTGCAGCCGGCCTCGCCGAGGAGCAGACCTTCTGGTTCCCGGGCTGCAATGCTGCAATCGTAGCAGATTACTGGGTGAGTTTCTGCCAGGGGCCACAACTGCCTGACTCACCGCGGAAGATCTGTCCCCACCTATGTCTGCTGTAGATACACACAGCTAAACAAGCTCCATACCGGCTGGCAGGCAAGCTCCCAAAAGCCCAAGCCCCCCCCCCCCCCCTTCTCTTCCACACACACTGTCCAAGTTCTGCTCAGAACCAAGGAATGAAGTAATGCAGTCTCATTTTCCTTAAAAAAGTCCATTTATTGAAATTGTTTAAACACTTTATACAAGTTCCCAATATAAGCGTCTGCTCCCTGGCTCAAGGTTAATGCAAATGGAAAAGCACAGACTTCAGCAGCTCTTTAATGTGACCTGAGCTGCCACCTCCTAAGAGGTCTCATGAGGCAGCTGCTGTGCACAGGCAATTCCCCATGGAGAAGTGGAAGCCACATGACCCAGCTCCAAGTACAGGCCAACATCAACTCGAGCCTGAAGCAAATGCTCCGGTTGGTTTCTTTCAGTAACTTTGATTTGTGTTGCAGAGTCAGGTCAAACAGAGGTACAAAGCTTACACAAACCACCAATGCCATGGTTGTACAGCGCTTAGCCCCAGAGGCTCTCCCTGTCTACAGAAGGAAATCAAGAAATCTGATGCCTCTGAACACATACACAATTATAAAGCCTGGTCAGAAGCAACCGGTTTCCTTCTGCAGAAAAAGCAAGGTTGAGCTTTGGAGAACTGGTGTCATCCTTCTAGGAATTACAAGACTTAACTCCAGACAGCCTCAGCCAGTGTTAGTCAAACACCAAGTGACTGACTGGGTGTTTCAGAGGAAGGGGTGGGAACCTTTGATGAGTTGCGTTTTTAATTTTTTTTTTTTTTAAGATACAACTTCATACGCAAGGATGGCTTTATCTTTAAAATGCTAGTTTCTTCCTCTTTGGTGAGCTTGGATTAAAAGAAAATGCCGTAACCTTTGGGTCAGTTTCCTTGGAATTTGCCTTCATATCATCACTGAAAGTGTTTACAAGAAGAAAAAAAAAGACAGGATCAAATGGCAGCGTGTGAGGTATCCTTGGGGAAACATCAGGGAGTGGCAGTGCATTCAGTTTGGTTTAACACATTTAGCTGCACGAGGCAAACTGAGATCAGTAACTAAGCCCAAACGAGAAAGACTCAAGGAAAGAGGAGAGCGTTTGTTAAAAGGTGGCCTGTAGCACACACAAGGCAATAAAGCTTCAAGCTCAGTTAGGTACTGTAGTGGAAATATGGCAAGACAGTCACTGGCAGCACTCGCTGTCTAAGGAACAGCAGCAGAAGCCCCACCAGAGACACCCAGTGAAAACAGAAGGCAATCGTTTTTCTTTAGCTCTCCCCTGGCGCCAGGGAAGCCTGCAGCAGCTTTGGGTGTCCACCCTCTGCAGTCACAATTTTGCAGCCTTTTGCTGACACAATCGACTTTAAGATTTTTGTCAAAAAAACGATGACAGTTAAGCCAAGCCACCTTACACTGCATCTTCTGTTGGCCAACCGCATGTGCATGGACAGTTACGGATTTCAATTTGTTAAGTCACCGCAATTTAATTGTGTCCGACCATTTGCCATGCCAATCTGCACAAAAAGGCGGGTGCTCAAGATGACGCCAATAAGACAGTACAAGAGCATTTTTAGATCTCTTCAAACATTCCTACATGTAAAGTCTTTTCCCTAAAATTATGTTTCCCCTTAAGCTATTGGTTTCATCACTTTGTATATAATATATGTTTCTTTAATTTCTACACACACCACACTGGGCTCTAACTTAATCAGGTATGGGACTGAATTGTTACCATCTATTTTTTTTAAAAACATCTAAAAAAAGCACCAACATCCATCTAAAAAAAACAGTATCATTTTTTCCCTTTTACTCCCAAATACTAAACTTAACCCAAGCTTGGAGGTTTCATCTTTCCAGTGGCAATACCTATGAACCTAGGCTAGCCTTCCTCCACGGGCTGGGAGAGAAAGGAGAAGTTATGTCCAGTAGCAAAGAGGATTATAAAAATATACACATTTCTGGGAGAAGAGGAAGGCAGAACCTAGAGTCTGAATTCTGCTCAGGACAGTGGCATTGTAGTGTCCTCTCCAAAATGCTTTCGTGACCAGTGCTGGTGGCTCCTCTTCTTTGTTTCATTATACATAATCCTTCCCTGTGGAGGGAGCATTTTTTGGATAGCCTCGGGTGGGTGGATATGAAGTTTCTCTCCGTGGACAGGAGCAGCAGAGGAAGGCCCCCCCCAGCATGGCCAGAGAAGCAGCTGCCCAACCTATGAAGAGAGCTGATCCAAATTCAAATCTGGCGGGGAGAAAGAAGAAAGAAAGTGAATAAAACAAGTAACGCCTCTGGATTACAGTGTTAGCATGTTCACACCAAGCAGAAAGGAGCTGAAACTGGGATGGGAAGTGGCTTCCTGCAAGGCAGCAGTCTGGAGCTGCCTGAGATTTGGTGACCTTCAAAACCCAGAGGTTTGTACGTTGGGTTAGTCCAGTCTGTCAGCTCACCGCAGCGGGGCCGAGCTCCGGGCAACCCAGGCCTTGAGCATTTAGTGGAGGAAAATTGCAGAATTCACATCAGTTGGGTCTCTGGCAGTGATGATGCCTTAAAACAAAGCCAAGACTTAGGAGCCACGTGGATGATGAGATCTGGCCCTCGTGCTCTTCCTGCAGTTTGAAGCCAACCTAGCTAGCTCAGGAAATTCCCTTCTTTGTTTTGAGCCACTGCTACTCAAAGCTAAGCCCTGTGAACATTTGTCACGCTGTACTATAGCATTATATCAAATGGGTCAGTACCTGGTGTTGACTGGGGTGAAAGGGTCATAAAAGGCACGAGCCACTCTGTTGCCATACCACGACGTGGCCACCAGCGCTGCCAAACCTGCACATGAAGGGAACACAGTGTCATGACTTGAGGAAAAAAATAAAAAAAACCAAAACAGAAAACCAACAAAAGTCACTACAAAAATAAGTGTAGCAGAACCAGCATCTGGAGTGATGCTGAGCTGCTGCTGCCCTGGGAAGTTCTGAACAGTTACTTAGTGCTGTCTGGGAGAGATTTAAGGAAGGATTGAAGGTCACCCACGGTTACATTGCACCAAAAGCAGGACTGCTGACAGCCTTTCACTGATGCAGGGTGTACAGATCAAACTCAGCTCTGCTAACAGAGACTGAAGGCACGCAGTCTATATAAAGCATAATGCTAGTGCCAAGAGACCTATATGATGCCTCAGATAGCCAGTGGCTACTGTGCCAAAGTCCGCCAGGGAATTCCCAGCCCAAAATGCTCTTGGAGCAATGACAGCAAACCTTCCCCATCCTCTCACATCCTACACAGAATAAATGCCATTTAGGACACTGCACACTTAACATAAACACACCTGTATGTTACCAACCTGCAATGATGAAGATCACCCCACCGAAGACGGCCATCCGCATCTTCTTCACCTGGTCGTCTTCCATGCACTTCATGCATTTCATGCCAGTCACAGCAACGAATACCGCGACAAGGCCCAGGAGTATCGCAGCCACCATCAAAGCCCGAGTGGCCTGCAGACTGCCTAGAAGACATTAGGATTTGAGTTACCACAAGGAAATCTCAAGATACACATAGAAATTCAAATTACTGGGCTTCGTAATCATGTGTCAAAATACTCTGCTCCCCATTACACAGAATACAAACAAGCAAGACATTCCTTTTTAGCTTTAAGCTCCCAGAAACTGTCATGCATCAGGATCAGAGGACTCTTGGCCTCTTCTAAAAATGCATGGCAAACAAGGGCACGCAGCTTTTTGCAGGAAATGACCTGGGAATTGCCCTCAGACATCTTTTGTTCCTTGATCATTTGAATGCCAATTGGAAGGACATATCTGTTTATCAAAAGAAGTATTCAGATTTAGGCTCTACCTTGACAAAGCATTTAGGCACATGTTTTCATATGAATAGTGCCATACATATGAATAGTCCCACAGCAGAGAGCAAGGCCCCTTTGTTGCTCAACACTTCCAAAACCTGTCTTTTATACAAATAACTCAGTGCTGATTTAGATATTTTTTGCACTAAATCCTCAGATTGAGTCCCAGAGGGTACAAAAATACAATTGCAACAGAAACAGGATTTTTCCCAGCCAAGTGAAAAATAGGTTGTTTTTTTTGCTACCTAAAATATTTAGCTTATTAGACTCAAAGATATTCAAATGTTTTAAGGGCGTCTTGTGCTTTCAGGGAATTGAAGCATGGGGTGATGCCTCCCATAGGCAAGAGTTCTATTTGCCCTGAGTTCTCAGTGTACATGATCCAAGATTTGGTTTATATTGACACATCTGAAGACACAGACACACTAACCCCAGGTGTGTGAACTATGAATTCAGATTTTCTTGACACCAAAGGAGGAAGAGAATAACGACATAAATTAACTCATTACTGAAAAAGAACCTCAGGTGACAAAACACCTGAATAGCAGTGAAATAAGAGCCTGAGCTTTATTGCCTGGTAAATCAGGTTTGTTTTAACAGCGTGGATTTTAGTATACAGTCCGGTTAAGATCTGGGAACAAACAGGGCTGGTTCATCAGATTAACAGGCTCCCAGGAGCATGCTGTAACCAAGGCAAAAGGGTCCCCTGGCACAGAAGGTTATCTAGCAGCGACACATGTATAGTTTTAGCAAAGTATCACCAGAATCCCCTCCCCAGTCAGGAGCTCACCCCTGGGAAAGCGCACTGACTGCATTCTGCTGGAGCTCTGCAAAGCCCTTCCAGCTTGGACAACTGCAGCTGTAAGATTTAAGCCTACAACGGAGCAGCACCTGCAAACTCCTCCGTCAGCGCTCGGCGCTGGCACAGGGAACCCATCAGAGCCTGCGCAACAACGATGGGCTCTTTGGCTCGATGGAAGCGCAGACCGGAGCTCAAACCCAACAGCGGCAAACCCGATGGCTCAACCCCGAGGGCAGCGCAGCCGCACACCTCTCCTCTGCAGCTTCTCTACTACACGGTGCCCCACGGCACTGCTCCTGCGGGAAAGTTCTCGGTCCCCCCACCAACAACGGGCTATCAGGCTCTAGTTCTGCTTTATAACAGATCTGGATCTGCCTCTCCACACGCACAGCCTTATTGTTCTGTAAATAGAGTATGAAACCAGTTAAAACCAATACAATAAAAAGGCAATATTCGGAGCAATAGGAAGTGACACACTTTTGCAAGTCTTGGCTTTCTTGAGAAAAATCCCCCAAAGCAGCTTGGCTAAATGTCATCTCTCCCTTCCTTCAGAGAGGAAGGGCCACAGTTCCACACCGCCCAGGTGCTAATCAAACCCCATCTGTTGCATTGATTGCAGAACCCCATTTACAGAATCATTTATCACTTTAGCATAAACACAACAGCAGTATCCAACCACACATTTAATACATTTCTCTCTACATCAGAGATCACACACACACAAAAAATTTCTAGCTTACAGAAACGATGCCAATATTCAGAAAGACTTCATCTGACAGGTTACCACCTGTAATGTACCACACTGGTTGTCTACCAATTCGGCTGCCACACTTTTAAGGCTAAACTGTGCATTACAGCAGCAGCTCTGGAGAGGCCAATGGCTGAACACACTAGTTCATACTTTGCATGGGAATGGACATTTTCAGCAGAGGTACCAAATCTGTTTCATCAAGTCGACAGTAAGTTGGCCTTAGTCTTCCTGCAGAAGAAATTACTCTGTAGGAGAGGGTTTTGAAAGAGTTCTTTCATGAAGCTGAAAAGAGGAAATGTTATACCTCAAACTAGAAAATTAGTTATAAGGGTGGGAAGAGACCTCTCACCTTCAAGCACAGTACTAAGGGACAAAGACAGGAAGACACTTGAAAAAGATGGTACGAACTCAGAAAATCTAGCTAGAAAACCTGCTAAAATCTCAAGATGTACAAGTATCAACTGGATGCACACAGCAGCTTTGCAGAAGCAGCTGAACAAAAAGCAGCATTCTGAGAATTTCCCAGGGCCACACGTTTTCAGCAGCAGACCTTGGAGGGACATCTGGTGTCCTCACCCCTGCCTTATCCATGGCTCCCCATGGCATAAGAGGACAGAGGCATTTCAAAAACTCGCTGTGGGACAGAAAAACAGGTTGGAGCATTTGCAGAACAGACTGTCCCCTTTATTCCAAGAAGTTTTAACGTGACACGATTGTATTAGCCAACCATCCTCCCCGCCACCCAGCCTGGCTGCTCTGTGCCCACAGCACATGCTGGGAGACAGGGCTTTTGTCTTCCTACCACTTTTGCAACGTGTGCAGTACATTGACTGCAGTTAATCATCATACAAGGTATGAATTATTATGTACACATTAACAACCCCGTTGTCAATGGAAGCCGCACATCCAGAGGCTGAGAAAGCCAGTTTAATATTAGTTCTGTTGTTGACATGGGCCTTTCCAGGTGTTTTAAAAATCCCAAATGAGGTAAGTATGACATTGTCTTAACCTGCTAAACAGGACTGGCTACCAGCAACAAGTAGAAGTACTCTACAGCAATTTAACTTTACAACTTCTATCATATTAGAGGGAAACAGGATTTCCCCCACACTCCTTGCTGCTGTCTCACCAACAGGAACAGGGCTTGTCGCCTCCCACGCGATACACCACCACTGTCGGAAAGCCCAGGCAGTCTCAGGAGTCCTTGAGGGGAAAAAAAACCCCAAACCAGAATACTGTACAAGGTGAAGACAAACTGGCCTGGCACCCAACAACAGCTGTCAGATGGTAACAGTATTTTGTCAATATAAACCACTATTGACTGGGCAGCCAAGCCTTTTTATCGCTGGTTAGTAACAAGATAGAGACCTGGCTTGAAAAACCTACACCAAGAAAGCAGAAAGTACCGAAAACCAGAGGTTTTAATGGTTAATAACAAATGTGAATCCTGCAAACCATAAAAATACAGTGTACGTCCACAAAAATTACACAGTAGCTCACACCTTTTTCACATAATGAAACCCACTTTTTTAAAAAAAACACACCACCTAACAGCTCTAACTTATTGTTAGTGGGTTTGGACACGAATTACACAATGCAGTTTATCTGAAGCCTATGTAAGGCTTTTTCCTTCCTACAACTATCTCCACTTTTTTTAAAAAAAAAACACACCACCTAACAGCTCTAACTTATTGTTAGTAGGTTTGGACACGAATTACACAATGCAGTTTATCTGAAGCCTATGTAAGGCTTTTTCCTTCCTACAACTATCATTACCTGACACAGAAGTAATTGCTGGCAACTGCTTAGTTATATTAAAAAAAAAAAAAGTACTTCACCAGCATATATTTGAGGTTATTTTTCCATCATCACATTTCCTTATTTATTCTGTTTATATCATCTACATTATAGAAAAGCTGTTGGGAAAGTGCCATGGGATTTTTGCAATGCCTGCTTGTTGCTATAATGGCTCTGTGTGCAGATTATTTTCTGATAGGGATGCTCATTGACTGCCTTGTTTGTATTTAAACTGTGGACTTTTTCTTCCGTCTCCATGGGCCTCCATGGAACCATGTGATGGCAGAACACAGGTGAAACAGATGCTGTGCAGCTCCCTCTAATCTCTGCAAGGGCAGTTCCCCAGGAGCTACAAGCACCCCTGTAGTGTAGGGAGCAGGATATACTGTCCACCTCCAAGAAAAAAAAAAAAATCAGCAGCCTTTAAAGTCTTCCCACCAGGGTTTCATGAAAGCTGAATCTCCTTGAAGGAGCAGAATCTGAGATGCTGGTCTTCTGCCCTGCCAGCTCGTGAAAGCTACTTGTGTGCAGCAGGCAAGGGAATGAAGATCTGAGCAAGCAATAATAGCATCAGAGGTAGTCAGCAAACATCTCTCATACTTCACAGTCGTTCTGGCGGGACCCAAAAGCCTGCCAATGGCTTGGAGGCTTTCAAACCCCTTATCAATCCTTGCAGAGACCCTGCGCACCCATTGCCATCAGATATTCCAGCCTGGACTCCTTCAAAACACCTCCTCACAAGTCTTAGATGACTGTACAGAGCAATCTGGGCAGCACATAGACTGAGTCAGGGTCATTTTTCTTGCCAAAATGGAAAGGCTGTGAAGTCCACACTGCATGTCCAGTACAAAGAAGGCAAATTCAGTAGGTGACGGTGGCCTTGTACTCTGCCCACCCCAAAGCAAATACAGTTCAATGCCCTCCTGCGATCACTCAGACAGCAGAGAAAGATTGCTGGTGAGACGGGCAACACGCTGTACCACCACTTCCAGGTTCCTGGTCAGAGGAGACCTGAGCAGCCTGTTTTCCCACGAAGCCTGGAAATTCTCTTACCAAGAGATTTAGTAACACATAGTAACACTAGCTACTAAAGCTGCTTAGATGCTGCTTGTAGAGCAATAAAGCCAGTGTGTTGCGACAGACTCCCATCCCCTCTTGCAGACACACAACACAGCACCGGAACAGCCTCGGTGGCATTCCAAGTAACCCTCTACCTTCTCAAAGCGCGGCACAAGTGAGACTCTTTTATCACTCCATCATAATTTTTCATGGAACGGGGATTGAGAAACATGGGAGCAAATTAACCCTTAACCCACGTGAAAGCACAGATACCAGCAGGTTCTACCTGCTTACTCCAGATCTATTTGGACACGTTTGTCCCTCATGCTATAGCTTTGTCCCTCCCTGGGCCACCCTCCCAAACTCCCCTCCCATCACGCCAGAGCAGCAGTAACCTGAGCATGAACCCTTCCTTCCCCCCACCCATCCTCTTCCCCAGCTCCTGGAACAGGCTCAGCCAGGGTGGTAAAGATGTAGGAGGGAGAATTTCACATTTCAGTGATGGTGTTGGACCCAGAGGGCATCCAAACCCTTGTTTATTTTCTGGGCTAGGGCACAAAGGCTCATTGTGGATGTACTAGGTTTGGTGATGAAGTGGTAGATGAGTCTCAGCTTGTCTCAAGCACACAATCTCTCCCAGGAAAACCAAACGGGGCAACGAGTATCTTCAGCTTAAAACAGCCCAGACAGGACCCAGAATCACCTCTGCCCCGAACAGGAGAGGGTGGTTAGGTGGGGCTGAAAGCTTCCAGTGACAGGTACCAGGAGCCCTCCCTCCTGTCTGAGACCATCCCCCTGAGACCCCGGAGGAGCACAAAGCTCAGCTAAGCTCCATGGACGATGCTGGAGGGCTACAAGAACAATGCTGAGGCTGTGCAACAAAGCCTTGTTGCAAGGGTAGCTTTTGTTGCCTCTATGTCTGCATGTGGCCACGCACTGCTTTTCACGTAAGCCAGCAAAACGCAGCCTTTCTATTGCCTGAATAGGAGCACTGACATAAGCCCTCAGCTGAACGCAGCTGCGGGAGAAGTGCCAGCATGGGTGCACTCCAGCAGCGTGGCCACACGGGAAGCTGGAGGCCCCCCAGTTGCCTAACTGGTGCTTATCAGCTTGTGCCAACCCCACGTCTGCCATGCAGCATCAGTCCAAGCAGCCAAACGCTTGACGCATCTAGAGGAACGGCAACAGCAACCAGATACGCAGAAGCTCGCTGGCAAAGTTTTCCAACATTCCCACAACCACGAGTACCCGCGGGTGTGAGGAGGCTCAGTCCTTTCTACGGGAACAAAGTAATTACAGCTCTGAGCCTCTCCCATTAGCGTATGAGGCTCTGACATGCGGCTCAGAGCATTCAGGGCATGTGAAGCTCTGGCAGGACAGCGGGGCCAGGCAGGAGAAGGTTCGCTGCCCACGTAGCTGTGCCACCTTCACCACGCCACCAGTGAAGGCAGTAATGGAGCTCCTCACTGCGCGGCTGCACCTGTTGAAATGGGTATAAATAAGAGGTTTTCGCACCTCCACTCAAAACAGCACTGCTGGTCCCTGCCCAAGCCTAGATGGCCGTAAGACTTTGAAGGGAGACCAGGCAGGGAAAACAGCAGGTAAGGTGTATGTCCCCGAACAAGGAGTCCCCAGCCCTCACCGACTTGCCCAACGTGGAAAACATCCCCTGCGACTTCCATATTTCTTGGGCTTCCTGGGAATTTTCAGGCAAGTGTGCCCTGCAAGGCCAGGGGCTCTGCGAGGGGACAAAAGGCCACTAATAGCTCAGGCTCAGTCCCCGGCACCTCACACCTCCCTCCCCCGCAGCCCTGGAAGAGAAGAGCCCTTATTGTTCGCAGGACAAAGGTGAGGGGGAGCAGCTGGATTTCAGCTCTCAGCCGTGAATGGGGCAGGTCTGGAGGTCCTCGGGCAGGTTTTCAGGAGGCTGTCGAGGCCAGGCTCCGCATCTGCTTCTGCAGGCAGCTCTCATTTACAGCACAATGGGCTGCAGCAGCACAGCCCCCGAGGCAAGTTTACCTTTCGCAAGGCATCGAGGGGGTGGCTGGAGATTCCTCAGCCCTACTGGCATCTTCACCCCCCACCCCCAGTGAGAGATAAGAGGCTTGAAGCTGAGCTTATACATAATTACCACTGAAACCGCCCCAGACTGTGTGCTCAGCCCAGCCCTGATTACCCACAGCCCCGCACCCAGTTAGTGCTAAGTGGGTGCACCGCACCCCCGATGGGAGCAATTCGCGCCTCTGCCAGCTGCAGGACCCACGGGTGTTCGGGGCAAGGGGGCAGGAGGGATTGGTGTGGGCCAGCAACGAAGGTGGGAGCCGGGGTGTCCAGCTCCACGGCGTGACACCCAGGAAGGGCTGGTGGCAATCGAACTTGGGGATACTCCCCGTGGTGCCCGGCTTATGTGAAACTTGCCGGCCCATCCTTTGGGAAAGAGAAGGTGACCAAGATAGTAATTACTATTTGATTAATTAGGGAGGGACGAAGGTGTTGCAGGACAGAACTGGACTCGGGATGAGGGGAGGGATATTGAGAAAGGGTGATTTTTTTTTTTTTTTGTCAGCCTAAGTTATGCGCTTCAGCGCTGTAGAAACAGCCCTCGTCCAGCTCGGTGTGACCGCCCCCAGTGACACCCCAGCAAGCCAGGCTGCAGCTCCTGCATGCATGAGATGGCTTCGCAGTCCCGGGACAAGATAAGAAGACCGAGAGATTACCTTGACATACTAGTCTGCCTAAAAACTACAGGCAGGGCTCCCTGGGCTGGAGTCCAGCTCACCTGCCAGCCCTTTGCCTAAAAGCCCCACGGGAATAACTGCGACTTTCACAGAGCACAAAAGACCAAAACAGTCAAACGCAGAAAGAAAAGGATCCGAGCTCGAAAAGACCACTTCAGCCCCGACACACTCTGCCTCCCACCGAGCCGTGCCCAAGGCGGGCAGCCCCTCTCTAAACTTCTACAGTCAAAAGCTCTTTCGCAAACACGGCGCTTTCCCGAACACACGTGGAGGATCTGACCCTTTCCCTCCCGGGACGTTTTT